CCTAGTTTGAAACACAGTCTTCTATTCATCTCCTTCTTTCATGCATATTAGATTGTATGCTCCTCGGAGATCTATTTTTGTATAGATCTTACCTTGATTCAACTGATCAAGAAGTCGAAATATTAAAGGTAGTGGATACCTGTTCTTGATGGTAATCTTGTTGAGTCCTTAATAATGAACACACATCCACAATGATCTATCTTTTTTCTTCATAAAAAGAATTGGAGCTCCTATCAAAGATTTAAAATGGCGTATGAAATTCTTGGCTAGATTTTCTTCAATATACTCCTTGAGTTCAGTCAACTCATTTTGTGATAAATTGTAGATTGGTCCGAATGGCAATTGTGCTCCTTCTTGAAGGTCAATTGAACAATCATAGGGATGATGTTTCGGGAGTGTATCCACATTTTTTTTTTCAAATATATCTTAAAATTCTTGATATTGACTTGAAATACCACGTGAAGTCTTTGCATCATTAAAAACGGGTGTGGCGTAAATAATATATGGTGATGCTTTCATAGCAACATGCAAGAAAGCTTTTGCACCTATAAACATGGATTTAATTGAACTGGACTTATGACTCTCTACTTGATCAACTACATTGGTAGTTATACTTTTAGAGAAAGTAAGAATTTGAGAAATCCAATCTATTTGAAGGTTGTATTTTTCTAACCACGATAAATCTAAAATGACTAGATTAGAGGGAGATCTAATGATATTAAATACTACAAAGCTATTATGACCATTGATTATTACTTCTATAGGAAGGATTTCGTGAGTAATATCTCAAGAAGACAATCGACGACCATATATGACTTCTACATGAACAGGTTTAATTTTCTTTACTAAAGATATGCTATATCTTTTAATAAATTCTTTATCTAAGAAACATGCTGAGGCTCTTGAATCTAACAAGGCACAGACTTTGTAATGTTTAGGTCCTAAAATAATATTTAATGTAAAAAAAGGAGAGGGTTCTGAGGAGAGAATAGGACCTTTACTAGATGTTGTGCAAGGTTCTAGCCACACGGTCTCTATTGTAATTGGACAAATTCGTTTTATGACATATTGTCTTCTTTCACAACCATACTCCTCATTTTGTGGTTGCGTCGTTTCTTTGGACAATGTTGAACAATGTGTTTTGATTCTCCACAATATAAATATAATCCTTCTTGACAACAACGAGTCTTTTCTTGTTCAATAAGAAGTTTGAAATGTATTGCATCAATTTGCATATCCTCTACTTCCGAATGTATGTGTTGAAGAGATGTTGGTGTTGCTATTGAATTATAATTACGTTGAGGTTCACTTGTACAATTCTCAAATTGGAATTTAAAAAGGTGATTGTCGCACTTCATAGCAAAGTCAATTCCTTAACTCAATGTTTGAGGATCAGGTAAGTTGAGTATTAATTTTTTTACCTCATATTATAATCCGTAGAGAAATTGGCTAATAAGTGCAACATCATCCCACTTGATATCAATTGCAAGTTGTCAAAATTGTGAAGCATATAACATTATTGATCGATTGCCTTATCGTAAAATATAGATCTTATTGGTTGCAACACAAATTGCATCATATTTTCTATACATGGATCAAAATTCTGCCAAAAAAGCCTCTAGATTATCCAATATTGGATCTTGTCATTCAAGAAAAGATGAAAATCATGATAGTGGTGAATTTGAAAGAAGCATATCAATGAATCTAACTTGCGATCCTAGAGCTGGATAGCTTTGGGATTGAAGTTCAATTACAAGTTGCACTTGATTGATAAATCTTCAAAACTTAGATCTGGTATCATCAAACTTCTCGGATAGGGCAATTCTTGGCTCTCTAATACTAGAAGGGCATTCCACTATAGGAGAAAGGATATGATTTGGTGTAGATATTGAAGCAGCTCCAATCATTTCTATATCTTCATCTCCTACCAATCTTAGTACTTCTTATGGTGGTAAATTGAGTTGATGCATTGCAAGCATTAACTCCCTCAATTGTTCTTACATTTGTGCCATTGTACTCTTCATTTCAGGAAGATGTCTCATGATAATACTTAGAAAAGAGAAGATGTCTAATATCACTCAAGACAAATAGAAGAGAGGACTTGAAAACAAAGAAAATACTAAAGACAATATCAGTTTAGAAGAGGGTAATCCGCAACTTCTAATATGCTTGTGTCTTATAAAAAAAAGAGATAATCTATTCTTAATTAAGATAAGACAAAGCTTTGATATTATAAGTGTACTCTTGTCAATCTGTCAAGGACAAGAATTCGATGAAAAAGTAATTCAGATAAGTGAGCCTTTTTAAAAGAAAAATAACAAAATCTAAATAAAAAAGTATATATATTGAAAGAGGAACTGGAATGGCTATTGCCAAAGACTAAAAAATATGAAGACTCTTGAACTTAGACTAGAAACAAGAAAGAAGTTGACAAGAGTGAAGAAGGCTTCATTCTTGTCTCTATATATACTATCTAACTAGGGGCTATGTAGCAACGTTCTATAGGACCTTCAATATGTGTTGACTTTGTAGGATACATGCCTTGATTTATAAGGCAAATTTTTCTACATGTGGGCCACATTGTTAGCTTGGTCTTCAAGCTAACAATATGTGCAGCACATGGCCAACTTGTTGACCACGTTTCTAATCCAAAAAGTCAATTAAAGACACCTATAAAGTCAAAGCAATGTCTATGAAGCTTTTAGAAAGCTTCTATACCAAATACTATAGAATTATCTTTCTTTTATCTACTTTTACTTACTTCTACCTATTTATATATGTAATTATTGGCTTACATGAGTATGTCTGTGATACAAACTTTAGAGAATTTGGAAGATTTAATCTAGCTAGGTAAAATCTAGTTAGAATCTAAACTACAGTTAAAGATGTCTTATAAGATGAAAGAAGAAAATGACTACATATGGCATTGCTAACTAGGACATATAGGTCTACATATGACGATGATGTTGAATACAAAAAATATACCAGCCTTCGCAACCTAGAAATTATATTGTAAATACTTTTTGAAAGAAAAACAAACAAGAAATGCAATATCCAAAGATAGAGCTATTATATCAAAGAAATACTTGAGTTAATATATACCAACTTATGTGATCTTCTACCAATTGCATCCTTATTATGTACAAAGTACTTTCTCCTCTTCATTAATGACTATTTTAGAAAAACTTGAATTAATTTTTTCAAAGAGAAGAAACAAACCTTTAGAAATCATAGAATTCAATGCAATGATAAAAAGACAAACGGAAAACTTATCAAAGGTTTCAAAATCAACAATAGAAGAGAATTTATATCACAAGACTTTTCCTAATATTGTATGAGAAATAGCATCATTTGATAATTCATATTATCTTATACACCACAACAAAATGAAGTAGTGAAAAGAAGAAATAGATTAATACTTGACAAAGCAAGATACATATTATTATTGAAGAGACTATCCATTTATCTGTAGCCAGAAGGAGCAAAAACCACAATATATCTATTAAAGAAGCTACCAACAAGGGCAAACAATCTCAATATGTCAATAGAAGAAATGTTCTTTTGGCAATAAACCAAAATTATGCCATTTGAAAATATTTGGATGCTCATCTCATGTACACATAGGACATTAATCAAGAAATAACCAATGGTGAAATTTACAGTCATCTATGTAAAGAATCGCCGACTTCTTTACAAAAAGAATAATAAAATTAATATATCTATTTTTAGCTATACTCTATGAATAAAAATTGATAAATAGTCCATCATTAAAACTCATAATGATATATCATCAATTAAACAAGTACATTCTCTAAATCAAGAAATCAATTCTATTTAGCCATTATTAACTATTATAAGAAGAGGTAGACAAATCAGAGTGCCATGCTGGATGAAAGACCACTTTGCAAGATTGATGACAATATCAAACTTAGAACCAACCACTTATCATGAAGCAATTATTTACTAAGGATGGAAATAAGCCATGATAGAAGAAATGAAGTGAATATACAAAAATGAAACTTAGACCATTATAAATCTATCTTCAAATAAATCTACTATATCAACTAAATGGATATATAAGGTGAAATTGAATACTAATGGCTCACTTCAAAAATACAAAGCTCAATTGATTGTAAGAAGCTTTGAACAAAAAAAAGGCATTGACTATGAAGAAACTTTTGCACTAATAATAAGATGGTCCACCATTAGAGCCATGATTTCAATTGCAGTATAAAATTATTGGACACTATACTATATGGATGTTAAAATTGAATTTCTTTATGAAGATTTAAAAGTAAAAGTATATATTAGTTAGCCACAAGGGTTTGAAATTCTTTGAAAAAAAAATATGGTTTGGAAACTAAAATAAGCGACTCAAGCATGGTATGAAAAATACACTCTTATTTTAAAAAAGCAGGTTTTTAATAAGGAATAGGTGATTATAACTTACAGTTAAGATTATCTAATTATAAACTAATTCTAATTTCATTATATATTGATGACCTTCTTATGATTGATAGTTGCACAAAAAACATGACCAAATTTTAAAAAGAATTACATGATTGTTTCGAAATGTGCACAGGCCTTTTGTACACAATACATAAGTTATTTTTAACATAAAATATTATATACTTGTAATGACTTCAATGACAACCTAGAAGGCTCGAATCTACAAGCTCAGAACAACATATTTTCAGTAGAACACAAAATGAATAGAGACAAAGAAAACTGAATTCAGGAATGCAAATAAACTTACCGGCGAACCTCGAGGGCACTCCACTTTCCGAGCCATCGGACCACTCCACGGACTCTTCGCCAATAGTTCGCATCTCAGAAAAGGAAATCCACGCAGAGCATAGAGAAGGCAGTAGCTCTGAAGTAAAACCGGGAATCTCAACCACGGGAGCGAGGGAGGGTGTTGAATACAGACCTCGGTTGATACTAAAGAACCTAGACATCAACATTTAAGATACAACAAAGCCCCCGATCCGATACCTATCGATCGTCGGAATTTTCTCTTGTACTTTACTCCCGAATTACAAATACAAACACACTTTGTGCTAACACCTGTAGTGGTGTCCCTTCCACAATCTCCTAAGTCTATCACAGGTACAGTTTCACTGTCGATTAGTAGAATTACTGACAGCGATTGTCGTGCAGGCATAAAAGCAAAATAAGGAGTCAACAAGATCTGAAGTTAAACCTCTTCAACGTTGGCTCACCATCTACAAATACTATATCTGTCTCTTCACTGAAGAAACTATTTTCATCAATTATCTACCCAACTCTGTCAAAGATGTCAACAACCTGCACTCCACTTTTCTAGGGTGGCAAAAATAAATGAATCATCTGACTCTTATTTCACTGAGCTCAAGTACAGCATCAGTGGAATTTTCTTTCTCTAAACGACTTCCACCTCCACTTGACGATCCCATGAAAGACTACTCGCCTTCCTCCTTTACAGTCCCAAGGTCACTACTGCAACCGGCAAACAACCTGGTGCTCTCCAAGAGGTTCCCTTCATTCCCTGGCTTCAGCGCCACAACCTCTGCCTCACTCTCTCCTTGCAACATCGCCACCACTCGCTCCATGCCTGGCCGCTCCTCTGCCTCGTTTTGGATGCAAAGTAGGCCGATGTTGATCACACGAAGCACCTCCACCTTTTCTTCATCTCGCAGATTCATTGTACGATCCACCGAGTCCACCAACTTACCCTGCCGATGCAGATCCCATACCTACGAACCCACCGAGACAATAAGCCATATGCTGATCCCTACATGCCCAATCTGCTCAAACATCATGTGAATGACTAGGATTCATTTCACCTACGAAAATAAAGTCCATCTTGGACCAAAGCGATCACCCTCAATTGAAGGTAGTGATACCAAACATGTGAAAAAAAGAGCGAAATCCTCACCCATTTGGACAGATACATTTCGCCAGGAGGATAAGAATCATCAATGTTTCTTCTTCCACTCACGATCTCTAAACACAGCACTCCAAAGCTGTAAACGTCCACCTTGTCACTCAACCGACCACACGACGCATATTCTGGTGCCAAGTATCCCCTGTGGACACATTCAACCCACTTCTACTTCAGAAGTAGGGCACAAACATGGAACTTCACATCTTCCAGTAACTACTGAGCCGGAACTTCACAACTTGAACTAACTACTGAGCTTACTTGGTACCAGCAACATGCTTGGTCACTATACAACTCTGTTCATCAGGAAAAAGCAACGCCAAGCCGAAGTCTGCTATCTTGGTGTCGTAGTTCTTGGTTAGTAAGATGTTGCTGGCTTTGATGTCTCGATGGATGATCCTCGGATGTGCAAGTGCATGGAGGTAATGTAGACCGCGGGCCACTCCCAAGACGATCTTCCATCGCACAGGCCAGCTCAAGTCGGCCTTGTTTGCACCCCCTGCGCCAACGAAATCGTGGCAACACAAGGTGTAAAGGGTGCTAATTATCGCTTAAATACCACCAAATTTCAACTGGTTTCAGGTTGTTCATAAACAAGAGCAAGTGTGAGAGTAATCCAAAAAGAATCAAGAATAAGTGATTGGAGTGTTTTCAATGAAGAATTGCAAAACTGTCACAGACGCTGTGTAAGATTAGAGTTCTCACGTTGAGGGTTCATCTCACCTAGAAGAACCTGGTCAACGTCATAGTTGTCAACATACTCGTACACCAACAATCTTTGTTGTTCACGAATGCAACACCCTCTCAGATTCACAAGGTTCCTGTGCTTCATTCCTGTCAACAAAACTACCTCATTCAGAAATTCGTCTAAACCCTTGGAAGTCTTTTGGGGGAATAGTAGTTTCACAGCCATGACATTTCCATTCGGCAAAATTCCCTGCGAGAAGTCACAAAGACGGTGTCATTTAGTCGAAATCTCCGATGTAATAAATTGGAAACAAATCCCACTATCTTCTGCTTACTACCATCCATGTGGCACACAGACAGTAGATCTGCATGGTTTTCGGCAGAAAAGTAGACGTCTTGATCTGCAATATTTCTTCGACGTTGTTCACATTTTACCTTGTACACTCTCCCAAAGGCTCCCTCGCCCAACTTCAAGTCGGGATGGAAGTCGCGTGTGGCAGTTCGGAGCTGGCTGTGGGTGAATATAGTTGGCTTCACCTCAAACTCTTCAAACTCTGGAGCGAATACAAACCTCAGTACTTTTGTAAACAATTGTTACAGCTGCAGTTGATTTTGAGAATGAATCAGGCATGAGCTACAGCTATCCTGCCAAATTTGTTATTGTGAACTCCCAGAAGTGGAGATCAAGTCCTTACTTTGTTGGACCAGAAGCTGATATTGCTTGAGCTTTTTGTGCCTATGAAATAGAATAGCCAGACTGATCATTAGGATCAGTGATGAGGTTACACTGACCACCACAGCGATTATCGTAATCTTGCGTTTGCTTTCTTGCATTGGAACTGAAACAAGATGACGAACTCTCATAAGCATGGTTGACAAAAAAACATGAGAATGACATGTTCATTCGACCTCAAGGACGAGGACCAATACCTGAGTTGATGCAAGTTTGTGCACAGAACATTTTCCTTCCGTCATCAGAATGTGGACACTTGCAGAATGGATTCCCTTGCAGTCTGCACAACCCAATGTGACGATTTGGTAACCAATGCTACCTGTGAATTGAATTCCAGTCATACAATTCCCTACAAAGACTTGTTAACATGATAAGTACACAGCTACTCAGAGCAAACGGTTCATCGTTGCATTCCAGCTACCATTGATCGACGAGCCGATCTATTAGTGATCGTTTCCTACCTTATCAGAAGGGATTGCCATCAATCGCCAGGGCATGCTCACCAGATAACTGTGGCGCTATCAACGATCGACTTGGCGTCATAGACAACATTTCTAATGCTGTTGTTCATCAATGAAAGTACTGTCAGCATGCTTGAATTTGCTGTCGAGTTTTTGGACATTAGCAAGCCCAGGTCATACAGTCGACTGATGTTCAGTGTTGGATCGGTGCGAATGTTGTCGAGATACCTGTAATGCAATGTATCTTGTGAGGCGACTTCCGTAGCATTGCAACATTTTGATAACTGCATTGCGGAAACTCTAAATCATTCATTCAACCTGATAAAGATATACTCGATATTGAAATGTATTTTAGGCATGATAAAGGACGTATATTACTTGGCGTCCGGTTAAATCATCCACACTCCAGATTTTGGTAATTTCAAACTTGATAAAATGAGCTTACAGCTCCTGGAGCGAGCCAAGTTCGTAGGAGCTCCAGAAATTTTGATCGAGTGTGAGTGGATTGTGAGATATATCCAACACTGAGAGGCTGTTGTTCTCAGTTCTGTTGAAGTACGACGAAATCAGAAACGATCCTGTAAATCCACTCCTGCTCAAATTCCTGTGGAAGACATAAATACAGGAATCAGAGCACTTCATCCTCTATTGCTGAAAACATAAGATACATCGGGTTTCACCTGGGCCTGATTGATGATGATATTATCAATCTCCCGCAAGATACACTGTGCTACATCCTGTGTTTTTGTTCCATGGCAATCCCTGCTGCAAGTGTTAGCCAATGTAAGGAATGCAACTATGGAACTGACGTGCGTGGTTACAACTTTCCCGTCACAACATTGACAAGCTGGCAACATAATTGCAGAGTTATGCTTAAGCTTGTAAGGTACTGCACACACATCCTGGGCATCCGAAACTCACACAGTGCGTAAGGAATGTATCATTGTCAGGTTTGGCAGTGTCCCGTTAAACTTGTTGCTTGACAAGTCCCTGTCAATCCCAGAGACATAAGAATAGTGAGATTAGAGCGACTCGGATTCAAACGAGTTTGAGAAGTAGTAGCCACCACAACAAACCATTCACCGATCACCTACCCCTAGTATATAGCTTTTGCTGCACTCGGATGGTGCGATGCCAAACTCTAAAACCATTCGAGACTAGTACGTTTAGGTTGCTTGAAGAGACGAGTAGATTAAGTTGCATGAATTACTGGACTGAAAAACTCGAATCTCTAATTTCAGATGTTAGAAATTCGGATTCTCACAGGTCGAAAAGATTGGTCATGTTTTCAAACGCTCGTTCTGGGACCGGCCCCTTGAAACGATTTCTGCCGAGTCTTAATGTTTGGAGGTACTCCATCTGACTAATTTGAGAAATCGGGAAGGACCCATTAAACTTGTTGCCACTTAAGTCCCTGTTGAAGTGCCAATTCGATTTGTGAGATGACCACAGTCTTTCTGCTGGAAACATTTGCGAAATTAAAACAACAAACCATGGTTTGGCACACTCCTCAATTAAAAAGCTTACAATGTCACGAGGAAGAGCAAATGGACCCCGTAATGAGGGAATTCACCCTCCAACGCATTGTCGTGAACATCCCTGGGAATTAAGAGCAGTAAACAACTTTCAGGGTTTGCATCAGCAATATGTAATTACTGGATCATATCTGAATCAAAACCACATCTCATATATAAATTGCATAATGGTAGCTAACTCAAATGCAATGTCAAACTTTAGATGCATAATTTGGTCGCGAGTGACGAGTACTGCACATCAGAATTCGAGTCTTACAAAATGCTAAGACTAGTTTCATTCAATGTCCGTGGAAGAGGTCCAGTGAGATTTGGATTTCCTGTCAGCTCCCTGCATCACAGGACCCACCTATTAGTGTCGTCGTCCGTAAAGAGGACGCTGAAAAAGTGAATTTCCTGAACCACTACTGAACATTTCACAGTGCGAAGTCAATTGATCCCTTGCTTTTTAAGGGCTGTTCTATCGGTTAATTCGAATTTTCATAAACCAAGTTCACACTGGATCATGAATTCTTATCAGCAGGTCATAGCAAAAATCACGGACATTTCGGAGACTCACAGTCTATACAGCGAGGTAATGTTTCCAATGGTTGGTGGTATAGAGCCTACAAGTGATGCACTTTGGAGAGTCCTGTTTGTTGTGGCCATGAAACCCTTGAAAAATCAGAAAACTAATGGATACGACACAATGAATCAGAAGCACTTGTACATATGAAGCGGTCAACAAGGCTGGCAGCACGTCCACCCCCCAGTTGTCCAGGAGCAAAATTCGATTCCAGCATGAGCAACGATTCGGAAACAGAATAAATCAAAGTAGTAGACACTCACACGCCTATAATGTAGCTATAGCATGTCTGATACTCCCCATATGATGTACAGTTGACGAAGTTGAGACACTGCACCCCACGCCAATCGCCTTTGTCGAAGCACGGAAATGTTGAATTCATGTCCCACCCAGCCAAGTTAGTCTCAAGGTTGGGGGTTTGATTCCATGCTCGCAAAAGGTCTTTCAGTGCGTCCACTGCAAGTTAACCCAGACAATAGTTCATTTCTAACTAGTCCGTGTAGGAACAGAGTCCTCCTTATTCACACCGGTCTCTTCGAAAGAATGGAGTTTCGTCAGACACTTACAAGCACTATCTTTTTTACCAACCGATATCCAATTGTGCAGCCAAGTCAATCAAGAGCTGCGTCGGTACCCAGCTGTTTTTAAATCCTTTGCCCTGGCCAATCATGTAACCACGCATACACATGAGGGAGTGGGACGGTTTACCTTGGTTACTGTCGAAAATTATAGTGGTATTCTGTCCGTCGCAGGTGGGCAGTGTGCCCAACAAGACAATCAGAGCTGCGACGAAGCAAGATTGGTGGACAAGAGAATACTTCCCGACGCCCAGTTTGAGACCCATGGTGTCTCCCGCTTAGATACACTCTGCTCACAGTGTGAATCTGCTCTGCTTACGGTGTCGACAGAGAAAGCACAACAACGTGATGAAACGAGACAGACAGCTCTTGTCCAATGCTTTGCGCACTTTATATCGATTGCCTCTACCGATTTCTGAGGTGAGCTGAATGCGGTCTCGCACATTCACACTGTCGGTGAGGACCACCAGCCCTTCAACATCGTCAATGCTGGAGAAACGAGGCAAATTTTTATTGTTACGGATGTGAATTGTCGATGGATGGCATTCATCCTTCTGCCTACCAGTCCGCCATGCGACCAAGAAGGTCCTGCTCAGACCGCAATTGGGCAGCCCGATCCCCTGAGAATTCCTCGATTCAGCGGCGCCGGGGTCTTTTTGTCTCGCAGAAGGATCTTGAATTTATTTGGTAGTGATTAGGCTTAATCTTATTTTCTTTAAAAATACATAATTTAGTTTCTTTAAATTGGGAATAGAAATGGGTTACTAAGATGAGAAATGAGAGAGACACATTTTCAAAATTAAAATTTGATAACCAATATGAAAACTTTGTATCAAACACATATTTAGAATTCCGAAAGAGTAAAAGTTCGTTTAGGATAATACAAAGTGATTTTAGTTTAGATTTAGCAATAAAAATATGTATTTACAAATGTAAATCTTGATCTTGCATTTAATTGTTGCAAAACATTGTTATACTTTGAACCAAATTTTCCTAAATAATATTCTTTTACATAAAAAATAATGTAATTATTAAATACCTTCACCTGATTGAAATTCTTATGAGGTAAGATTCAAAGAACTATTTTTTTCAGTTCATTTGTATATATAATATGTGAATGCATTCTATAAAACACGTCCTAAATTGTGGGGATGTAGGGTCAAAGTCAACCTCAACGTCCCCACACGCGCGCACGGACACATGTCCACATGGCTCCCTTCTTCCTGGCCCTGCCCTTGAGAGCGCCGGGCAGGGAGCGTGTTGGCGGGGGCGAGTCTCAGGCTCACCACCGTTCCTTGGGCTGCTCGTTCGTTCGTTGGTGTGTTAGTTCGCTCGGAGGTGGCCTCGCCTGTCCTGCTTGGCGAGAGGGAGGGAGTGAGAGAGGCTCTCACTGAGCTCCTCCACCACCGCCTCGCATTTCCATTCGTTTCCCCTTCCGCTTCTTCATCTTCAATTCCACCCTCATCCCTCCCCTGTCTCTCAAGTTTGGTATACTCTCCATTCGACAATCGGTTTTTCATGTGATTTCCTTTTCGTAGTGTCAACATTTTTGACGTACTGCTGCGTCATACGTCATGGTTAGATTGCGTCATACGTCATTGTATGTCTATTGCTTTTGGATGGATTACAATCATTGTCATAGTTTTCCTAATTTTTAGAAGAGATAGTTGATTCATTATTACTAATTCAGATCCTTCAAAAGTTCTCATGTTGGGTCATTGGGATAAAGATTCGCGGTTTTAAATATTAAACACGAATCGAAGGGCCGTCGGTCATAAAGAGGTCACAACCATCATTCACGACCAATCTCATAAAAAAATAAGAAACTATTATTAGGTATTTCAAAAATAACGTCGATACTGCAGTTATAAAACCAAGGCTTTTTTGACTTCCGTGGCTGCATGAATTATTGGATCTTATAATACTTGAGCATTAAAACCACCCCCTTCCCCAGGTTTATCGGGAACTGAGCCCGACAGTATTTTTTCGATTCATCAAAACAGTGCTTACAAAACAATACCTTCTCAGAATATGACCAGTTATTTACAATTGACAGGTTGCCAACGTCAGAGAATTTGAAAGATTTACCAGTGAACTAAGCAGGAAAAATCTAGCCAAAAACTATTCTATAGTTAAAGATGTCTGATAAGATGAAAGAAGAAAATGATCATCTATAACAAGGACATGTAGATCTAAATATGATGTTGTAGAATACAAAAAATATACCAGCCTTGGCAATCTAAAAATTATATTGTTAACACTGTTTTAAAGGAAAACAAACAACAAATGTAATATCCAAAGATGGAGCTACTCGATCAAAAAAATACTTGAGTTAATACATGCCAACTTATGTGGTCCTCTAGCAATTGCACCTTTATCATGGACAAAATACTTTCTTCTCTTTATTAATGACTATTCTAGAAAAACTTGAATTTATTTTCTCAAAATGAAGAAACAAACCTTTTAAAAGATTATCCGATGGGAGAACACTAATTCTTATCGCATTTTATATTGATGACCTCCTTCTGGTAAGTTGCACTGAGAACACGACCAAGCTAAGTAGTCAACAAGATCGAAAGTTGCACAGAAAACCTCACCAGAGAAGAAAACAAGATCTGAAGTTAAACCTCTTCTACGTTGGCTCACTATCTATAGGTACTAGATCTGTCCCTTCACTGTCGAAACTATTTTGATCTATTATCTACCCCAGTCTGTCAAGGATGTCAACAAGCTGCATTCCACTTTTCTAGGGTTGGAAGAAAAAATGAATCATCTGACTCTTATTTCACTGAGCTCAAGCACAGCATCAGTGGAATTTTCTTTCTCAAAACGACTTCCACCTCCACTTGACGATTCCATGAAAGAGGACTCGCCTTCCTCCTTTACAGTCCTAAGGTCACTCCTGCGACCGGCAAACAACCTGATGGTCTCCAAGAGTTTCTCCTCATTTCCTGGCTTCAGCGCCACAACCTCTGCCTCATACCCTGCCGATGCAGATCCCATACCTACGAACCCACCGAGACAATAAGCCATATGCTGATCCCTACATGCCCAATCTGCTCAAACATCCTGTGAATGACTAGGATTCATTTCACCTACGAAAATAAACTCCATCTTGGACCAAAGCGATCACCCTCAATTGACGCTAGTGATACCAAACATGTGAAAAAAAGAGCGAAATCCTCACCCATTTGGACAGATACAATTCGCCAGGAGGATAAGAATCGTCAATGTTTCTTCTTCCACTCACGATCTCTAAACACAGCACTCCAAAGCTGTAAACGTCCACCTTGTAACTCAATCGACCACACGACGCATAATCTGGTGCCAAGTATCCCCTGTGGACATATTCAACCCACTTCTACTTCAGAAGTAGGGCACAAACATGGATCTTCACAACTTCCAGTAACTACTGAGCCGGAACTTCACAACTTGAACTAAAATACTTCACAACTAGTCGATTAAGTTGCATGAATTACTGGACTAAAAAACTCGAATCTCTAATTTCAGATGTTAGAAATTCGGATTCTTACAGTTCGAAAAGCTCCGTCATGTTTTCAAACGCTTGTGCTGGGACCGGCCCCTCAAAACGATTTCTACCGAGTCTTAATGTTTGGAGGTACTCCATCTGACTAATTTGAGAAATCGGGAAGGACCCCGTAATCAGGGAATTCACCCTCCAACGCATTGTCGTGAACATCCCTGGGAATTAAGAGCAGTCAAACAACTTTCAGTGTTTGCATCAGCAACATGCAATTACTGTATCATATCTGAATCAAAACAACATCTCACATATAAATTGCATAATGGCATCTAACTCAAATGCAGTGGCAAACTTTGGATGCATAATTTGGTCGCGAGTGACGAGAACTGCACATCTGAATTCGAGTCTTACAAAATGCTAAGACTAGTTTCATTCAATGTCCGTGGAAGAGTTCCAGTGAGATTTGGATTTTCTGTCAACTCCCTGCATCACAGGATCCACCTATTAGTGTCGTCTTCCGTAAAGAGGATGCTGAAAATGTGAATTTCCTGAACCAACACTGAACATTTCACAGTCCGATGTCAATTGATACCTTGCTTTTAAGTGCTGATCTGTCGGATAATTTCAATTTTCATAAACCAAGTTAACACTGAATCATGAATTCTTATCAGCAGGTAATAGCAAAAATCAAGGACATTTCGGAGACTCACATTGTATACAGCGTGGAAATGTTTCCAATTGTTGGTGGTATAGAGCCTACAAGTGATGCACTTTGGAGAGTCCTGTTTGTTGTGGCTATGAAACCCTTGAAAAATCAGAAAACTAATGGATGCGACACGATGAATCAGAAGCAGTTGTACATATGAAGCGGTCTACAAGGCTGGCAGCACGTCCACCCCCCAGTTGTCCAGGAGCAAAATTCGATTCCAGCATGAGCAACAATTTGGAAACAGAATAAATTAAAGTAGTTAACACTCACACGCCTATAATGTGGGCATCGCAATCCTGATGCGTGGCATTTGATGTACAGTTGATGAAGTTGAGACACTGCATCCCACGACAATTGCGATGGTCTGGGTCGAAGCACGGATACGGGGATTTCTTGTCACACCCAGCCAAGGTAGTCTCAAGGTGGGGGTTTGATTTCATGCCTTGAGTTGGTCATACATTGCGTCCACTGCAAGTTAACCCAGACAATAGTTCATTTGTTACTAGTCCGTGTAGGAACAGAGTCCTCTTTATTCACACCGGTCTCTTCGAAAAAATGGAGTTTCGTCAGACTCTTACAAGTACTAGCATTTTCGCAACCGACGTCCAACTGTACAGCCAAGTCAATCAAGTGCTGCCTCGGTACTCAATTGTCCCTAAATTTTTGCCTGGCCAATTATGTAACCACACATTCACATGATGGAGTGGTACTGCTTACCTTGTTCCGGATTTAAAAATTATTTCTTTATTCTGTCCGTTGCAGATGGGCTATGTGCCCAACAAGACGATGAGAGGTGCAACGAAGCAATATTGGTGGACAAGAGAATACTTCCCGACGCCCAGTTTGAGACCCATGGTGTCTCCCGCTTAGATGCACTCTGCTCACAGTGTGAATCTGCTCTGATTACGGTGTCGACAGAGAAAGCACAACAACGTGATGAAACGAGACAGACAGCTCTTGTCCAATGCTTTGCGCACTTTATATCGATTGCCTCTACCGATTTCTGAGGTGAGCTGAATGTGGTCTCGCACATTCACACTGTCGGTGAGGACCACCAGCTCTTCAACATTGTCAATGCTTGATAAACGAGACATAATTTTTTTTTTATTACAGATGTTAGTTGTCGGTGGATGGCGTTCATCCATCTGCTTACCATTCCGCCATGGGACCTGGAAGGTCCTGCTTGGACCGCAATTGGGCAGCCCGATCCCCGATAAAACCTCGTGTCGGCTGCGGCGGGG